AGAACTGTTGTGATAAAGTATAGTTGCGTCATTCAATTGATCTCCAAAAGATATAAATGAAGCAATCCAACCAAATTTAGTCAGTTAATGAACAAGCATCTTCTATGCTCGACATGAAGTGGTGTTAATCTGCTGACGTCCGTACCAACAAGCATGCGAAAAGATTAGATGCCCCACTTAAATCATTTGTAGAAGCTATTAGGAAGCCAATTTTTGCACAGTCGAATACTTACTATATTTATATTCAGAATTTTACTGACAAAGTTAGCACATTGCTTGAAGAGACATCTAATATATATGCATGATAGATCTGGACACAGTTGACACAAGACTTTTGAGGTTTTTATTGGAAATATGGTAGTTCCGCTAAACCATGGTGTGAAGGTAGAAAAGAATTATTCCAGTGGTATCACAACGAATCGTGTGACTCGTGTTTAATCCTGCAATTTGAATATATATATATATTGAATATATATGTTCATCTTGTGCAAGTTGTATGATGTGTTGTATATGGGTCATTATTTAACCCATATCCTCTGATTTGATTAAAATATAATATATAGTTTTAATTTATAAAATAACATAAGCGCAGCCCTTTCTCCTATACGATAGTTCCAAGTCGCTGTATTTCATTCGTAAAAACATGCGTTTAGCTTAATAGAACCAGTCCAATTATTCTACCATAACTCAGCGATATGACAAATCTTTAAGCATATTAGATAAAAATGTTATCTAAACAGTTGTTATATTATTAACAATTTAAGATGACAAATTGCTATTTAGTACCTCACGCCGTGACAACTTTAAGGATTACAATATTTTTAAATGCGGCACATGACAGCACAAATAAGGAGCATTAGAGCACTATTTGTTTTAAATTAAAAACGGAACATAGTGTAACTGGCTTCAAATCTATAATGTAGTGACCTCGTTATAATATATCTATTTTATGGTTTGACATTTTGTTTATCTATAGAACCTAATAGTAAAAATCGTTCACTGTGCTAAACGCATATATAGTATAAAAACATAAAACTAGTTATTATTAGAAGATCTTGCAATGACATACTCATTCTCTGTGCATTATCTTTAATCGTTAAATAATGATTTTATAATAATGTACATCCGCATTTGTATTTTTTACTATATCTATGTACATATGGAAAACCTCTTAGTTGTAAGTAAAATGCTATTCACTTAATCAATATTGTACAACATAAAAAGTTTATAATTAACTAGTAAAAAGTAAAATCTCTTGTATAATACCATAGAAATCCATTATTTTTATGACTTATGGTTTATGGTTACAATTTAATTAATACCTTTCAATTATATCATTACTAATAAGGCATTTCATCAGTACGTACTTTTATTTTCAAGTGATTGTGTAAATGTGCTGATCAAGGCAGTTAACCGAAACATGCACTGCAAAAAAATATTAGACAAAAAAAACGAAAATAACTATAAAATGATGAGAAGTAATAAATTTGTATCTGTAGTCCAAAAACTATTATATGCGGGGAAAATAAATTAGATTGCATACTCAATTTGGAATGTCAGACCTTTGTGCACTTTCGCATATGAAAATTACTTAAATTGCAGATTACCGAGTTTTTCTGCAAGAGTATAAAAAACTACAAAAAAAAAAACTATAAATTACTAAAAAACTTGTATACACCACTCAAAAAGTATGCGGTCTTTATCTAAGATAATAAAATTTTTAAAGAAGTTCGACTTCATTCGTCGACCAACTTTTTTTCAAGACTACTCTATTAGTAGTTTGACAAAAGACATTTCGATGTCTTATAACAAGCACTTCATAATTTGAGCCAAGTTTCATTTTCTAGAGTATCTTCTTGATATTAGCAAAAAAAACTTATAGCCTTTCTGGCCAGATCTGAACTATACTGTGGGTAAATAAAAGAGCAATGCAAAACGTTATCCAATAAAATTGATAATCGTTGTCATCGACTTGTGACTTCTTATTTTAGAGATCGGTTTGAATAAGAACAAAACCCACTTTAAACGCATTCGGTATCAGATATCATTTTTGATATCTCTTAGGTGTAAGCTGGTGCACAATAGATCTTTTAGGACGGGGTGCTTCAATTACTTAAAAAATAGGTGTAAGCCATACCATGCAGCTTTAGTTTACGATCTTTCAAAACTATTTTGTAGAATTTTTTTTAAATTTTCCGGACTTCTCTAAGTTTTCTCTATATTTCGATTTTCAGCGACCATAACACTCACCATTATCGGTGTTTATATGAACGCCTTTCTGTTCAGCAATACTATCAATAATAGCTGATTTCGTTGATGTAGTGTCTCCATAACGCTCATCAAATCACTCTTTGCCTTTAATTGTATTTCTCTGGATGATAAAAAAAATGTTTAATCCAAACACGAAATTAGTTTCTATTGATTATTTTGAAAACTAAAAAACTGCTGTCACTAAAATCACTTTAACCTGTTCACTAATTTTTAGAACGACTTGAAATATTAACATCTATCGTTTCAAAGATGCTTTTCTTCCCAAATCATTTGGGTTTGTCTAGTGGCATAACCTGATTTGTGCGCAGGGGAGCTATACGAAAACACATTTTTGTTTTAGCTCTGTTATTGTATTCTATTATCTATAGGTTATATTGTCAAGGAAGAATCTAACACCTAATCGGGGGGTGATTAATCGTCCAGGCTGTGGTATTGTGTTTGTCAATAGTATTACCGACCGTCTGTCATTTGGAAGTGATCAAGATTAAATACTAAAACCACGAAGAAATATTTTTTCCATCATATTCTATAATGGTATTCGTAACGACATAAAATTGGAGACAATTGACGTATGTACCAAAAAAATATACAAATTGTTGTTATATATACAAAATATTCTAAAATACCTCATTAAATTTAATTATAATTAATTTGTGAAATGAGTTAAATATTTTGAATTCGATTTAATTATTGTGCCATAAAGCGACTTATTTGGGCAATAGCAATAGAAATATAAAACCAAATGAGTTCCATTATCATTTAACTGGTCACTTAAAATACTTTTTAGAAGTTCAAACCTTAATAGGAAGCAACAAAGAGTTTTCATGTATATTTGCGTCCTCACCTTACCTCTCCAGGCAATTAGTTTACTGTGGTCTCATTCATTGTCGACATTATAAATCGACCAACAAAAGCTTAATTATCATTTTTCAGATGGAAATTATTGCACAATTGCGAAAATTGTACACATTTTTATTGGACAATAAATAATTTGAATAGATTCGAGAATTAAAATCGTTTTTGGCAAATCACCAAATTGAGTTTTATTAGAAAACTTTAGAAATAGAGATTAGTAAATGAATTGAAAAATGACAAACATTTATTTTTTTGTTTATCGACTATACAAATAAATAGTTTGGCATATGAATATTTTACATTAAATTAAAAAAAATTTAAAAGTTTCATAAAAACTTATTTTTAATATTTTAAAATGATTTTAAAATTCTAAATTTATATTAAAAGCGTTTATTATGATTTGCTACTTTTAATTTTTGAGATAATAGATGTACTCATCATTCTCCTTTCAAGATAGGTGTGAGTATATTACTTAGGTAAAGCGTACCTACCATACCTGCATATATGACAACTTAAGTCAATTAAGCACAACTCTATATCTTTTTGAAATATAGACAGTAAAAAGTGTATTTCACTTGTGACACCCCATCAGCGGTGAAATTACGAACTCCAGCTACCCGCAATTTCAATTGCCTCGGACGCCGGACTGGCTACATAACAAAGTGCCTTAGTAGTTGTGGTTAACACATAAAGTAAGACAGGAAGTTATATTGCTTTCACTCAATGTGGAATTGCATTTTCTCAACCGGATGCTGTGACCAAAATAACAGCGCATAGTAGACGAGTTTAGCTCCTCAACAGTGCGGAAGTTATATCCAAGCAAATAAATTCAATTGGTAATGGCGGTACTTGTCCCAATGCAGTGCTTATTACCGCATTATCTTGATAAATATGTTAAGAACAAGGTGGTGTTAAGCACCCACAGCAGGTTGATCCATAGTAGTAGTAGTATATAGGTTTCAATATATAGGGTACGGATACAAACTGTAGATTCTACGAAGAGAATGAGGAGTCGGCCAAACAAAAACTCTGCGCTAATGCAAAAACGGAATAGATTTCTGAGAATGTACATTCTTACGGAAGAGGCAGTAAAAGTCTGTAAAGTAAGTTCTATACTACTCTAAGCTCTGACGCAACAGGGCTTATGATAGGGACGAAATAAACGAAAGCGGCGAACTTTGTTTATTTCGTTTCTATCAAATACACAGGTATGGATGGTGTATTTGCTGGCTTTGACTTAAGTTCTTACGGTACGTGCCGACTAACTGTACCTTAGCAGAGCTTTTATTAAAGAATTAAAACTTTTTGGGTATAGACAATTTTTATTTAAATGTAAATCATAGACTGAGCGGTTTCCAATTTCGCTTTGACTTAAATTCTTACGGTACGTACCGACTAACTGAGCCTTAAGTTGTTAACTTTAAACTATATGTATTCGTAGTTAACTTTATTTAACAATCGTAAATGTCTGCCTTTAAATACAATATAAATAATTTGTTTTTTTTTTTTTTTAAATTTCTAATAGAGCTTTCTAAATAGAGCTTGGTGAGAATATTATTTTTTTTTCTGCATCATTTTATATTACAAATAATATATGTATGTAAACAAGCAATATATTTTTCAAGATGTATCTTTTAACTTTTATATATCACTTGCCAACTAAGTAGCTAGATGTGTAAATATGAAAGTGAACAAAACAAACATTTGAGGTATTTAATAATATATACAATATCATATATATTTATTCATTTTAAACAATAAGAATTTGAACAGTTGGATACTTCGTAAATAATAATAAATTAAACATTTCTGAGTAAAATAAATTTTAGAACTCTACAGCTATAGCTTTTCTTTTCAAAAAGTGTGCAGTTTATTTTAAAAGGCATTAAAACTAAAACTTAAATATTCAAGCGGAAGATTATAATGTTTATAGGCAAAATTAGTCTAATAGGACTTATATTTCTAGCAAATTTTTCATTAAATGCAGCTGAAGGCGGGTACTTGAGTTATGGACCCCAATACAAGGCTACAGTAGGTAAGAACAAAAATTGTATTGGAATGAAGAGTTAATACGTTTTGGGCACAATTTAATAAGTAAATTAGAGAACCCTTTAAACAGTTGAAACATTTTATTTTGCTAGAACCAGCAATAGATCAATAAAGAGGAGAATTTTTTTGGATAGGTTATCTATCCGCTGATTCAGGAGCACTGCAAAAACTAATATGATGTACTTTACAACATCGACGAAATATTGATATTAATATTGAAAAAATATTAAATTTTTTAAAAAAAATTATCGAAAATATTCCAAAAACATTCATTTGGACCTATTATGATTCACTTAACCACAGGAACTTTTTAGTTATCAAGAAACTTAAGGAAGGTCGCAACTTACCAAAATCCGTTATAAAATCTTTGTTAAATAAAATCCATATTTTTAAACAAAAATTTGACCACCAGAATTTTAATTTCACATCTTTATCATATATAAAATGTATATAATCTATGGTACATAATATATATATATATATATATAATGTACAATATATATTATAATTATAATAAAATTATAATACAATAAATATGTTATAATATATTTATTATCTACCATATATTATATACATTTTACATATGATAAATATATATTCGTCAAATTTTCGGTTTACAAGGTTATACCAAAAAAAACCGTGGAGGCTTTTAATGACACCTTTATTATATATACACATATTATATGAATATAATGTATATATACAATATAATAAATACATTATTATATTTTATTATATTATATGGTTTATTTTGGCCATTATGAAATTTTGACATTTTTCGGATAGCTTTATAAGTCCATCGGTTCGATTTCGTTTCGCTTGAGCAGCGCTCCACTGATGGTAGTTCGATGGTAGTCCAAACTTCTTTGCAGTAATTTAACGTAATTCAGTGATAAAAACCATCGAATACTTGTCATATTCCACAATAAAAGTATATAATACTACTTAAAATATTATCAAATATATCACACTATTTTGCAGGTGAAGTTTGGCCGAAACCGTACTGGCAAGATGATGGAAATACATACTCAGCCGTTGATCCCAATAACTTTCAATTTGTGGTAAAAATTTTTATATTACATTATTATAATATTAACATTTAAAATATATTGATATATACTATATTATGTATACTACACTGTTATACTATTATACTATAATATACTATTATATTACTATATTAGAAGAATGACATATAACAGTAATAATGTTGTGAATTAAAAACAATAATTATTTTACCGATAATAATTAAAGAATGAACTTATGATGTAAAAATTAAAATTTAATATTAAACTTAATTTTAATTAAATTTTTAGTTAAAAAAAGATGTACCATGTTTTCAAGGATTTTTAATGTTAGTGACATTTTCAGATTGTGAATAAAAATTGTGACATCTTACAAGAGGCCATCACACGTTATACCAAAATCATCAAAGACTCAGCACAAGGCTACAGCCGGGCACCGGCGACGACGACGACCGGCACAATTACACAGTTTCGCGTTAATTTGACAGTCGTTTGCGAAACGTTGCCATACTTGGGCATGGATGAGTCATGTAGGCGGTCTTCACGTTAAATGGCGTAACTTCACCAGATCTGAATTTACTCCATTTACTGCGTAGACACTTTTATTATACCTTTTTTATTGGTTTTATTTTCTTTCGATTCTTCTTTTGTTTTCATTAAATTTCATTGTTTTTTTTTGTTTCACACAATGGCGAACAGATTTTGTTCACGGTGATGGACGAGTGATTGCTAATTCAATTTGGGGTATATTGCATGGCTTGGAGACATTATCACAATTGCTGGTGCCCATGCCAAATGGCTTGGTAAATTGCTTTTTCTATAGAAAAAAATTAAAATAAAATTTCAATTAAATGTTTACGCAATTCTTGTCACTTTAATAGCTGCGAATAGTTGCCACGGAAATATATGACCAACCGCGTTTTAAATATCGTGGCCTTATGTTGGATTCAGCACGTCATTTCATTAGCAAAACTAAAATCCTTAAACTTATTGATGGCATGGCTTATAACAAATTAAATACTTTTCATTGGCATATTACGGACGATTCAGCATTTCCTTATAAATCGAATGTGTTCCCTGAACTAGCAGCACAAGGTGCTTATAGATCTGATTTAACATACACTATCACTGATGTGACTGAAGTTGTGGAATATGCTAGAAAGCGTGGTATACGTGTGATACCAGAATTCGATACACCAGGTAATAATATGATAACTATGGAAATTATTCCATTATCTGCGAGTAAGTAATATCGCACATTAAAATAAATAATGCTCACTCCAATACATAAACTAGTTAGTTCCTACGCTTTTCTGGAAGTGCTTCGGAACTGTATTTACGTTATAGAAATTAGTTTAATGTTAAGAGTAGTAAAAGTATAAAAAAAAAATTTTCCTGTAATCCAGCGTTTACGTAAATTTTCATGCAATATTCACATCTCTGAGGCAGTAGCGTGTATAGACTATAAGTCATTATAATATTATTATATTGAACAAAATAACTCTTATTTTAAAATTTAAAATGAAATAATTTACTTGGTATTGCATTGTACGCGATTTTTTGAAGATTGTGATAAATATTGGAAAATAAGACAAGATTTTTATAACCCTTAAGGTTATAGCAATAATAGACCTACGCATATATACCTATCATTAGTTTGAATTTTCTCTTTGAATTTTCAATTTTCAAAATAATATTTCATTATCTTATTCCAAAATCAAATGAGTGAATGAATTCTTCTATTCACATTATACAGTTTTTATGATATATATTTTTTTGAATTTTTTTTGAATTTTTTTTAATATCATCCAATGCATTGACGGATACAATAGCTTTTAACAAAAGAAAAAAATCAACCTTCCAATTCACCTCTTCCTTGAAGAATGCTTTTTGAAAAAACAGTAATCTTTTGTAAAATTTTATCATACTATTTTACTATCATATATAAAACCACACATCCTAAACATTTTATGTTTTTAGCACATACTGCTTCCTGGGGTGCTTCACACCCTGAATTAATGACAGAATGTTTTGGACAATATGCTGGTCAGTTGGGTCCGTTTAATCCCACGAAAGACAGTACATTTAACTTTTTAAATACTTTTTTCACGTAAGTATTTTATAGTATATAACACTAGATAAAATTATATATCATTATATATATAATGAATTGAAATATATAATATATTATATCTATTTGTTTGTTATTTAGTGAAATACGTAATATATTCCCGGATAATTATATACATTTGGGTGTAGATGAAGTGGCTTCCGGTTGTTGGGAAACGAATCCCCAAATACAAACCTACTTGGCTGCTAATAATTTAGATAATGTTGATTTGCCATATATGTACCTAGAAAGGTTTACAGCTGATATGTCAGCCAAACGTTGGAAGCAAATGGTCTGGCAAGAGGTATTTATGAATCATCATTTTACAATTTTTTTAAATGAGAATAAAATATATACATATTTTTACTTTCAATCAACTTACACTTTTTAAGTAGGATATTGTTTAACAAACCAATATACTTTTAACTATAAACTAACTAAGAAGAAGAAGCGACAATGTAGATTTTCATTTTTCATATAAGCCATTCATTCTTTACAAATTAATATATAAGGAATTTGCTTAACAAAGGAGATAAGCACTAACCCCATAAAGAGCTAGAATAACTTCGTAATTATGTTAATGTAACGTAGCATTGTGATCCAATTAACAAATATCAAACTCTAAAACCAGATAAGCATATAGCATTAAATATAACTTTTAACCATAGCTCTAACTGTTATCGCCAAAATGCAAAGATCAATCTATCAAACCTTAACGCAAATCAGTTCAAATTGCCCAACAAACAGATTTAACTTTATTCTATTTCTACTATTAAATCTTTAGAAGATCTCGGCGAACTTCAGGACCTCCCCTTGATTAGCATCATAAGCTTTGCCAAAGGTTCTAGATGCTTTTAACCCTTGGATTTGTTATAATATGGTAACACAATGGGCCTATAAAGCTAAGTGAATCCTTCTAGGATCGCCAGTATAACCTAACCTTACCTATTATTAAAGCAATAGCTTATATACTTTTACTTTAAAAAAATCTTTCAATCTACAAAACATCTTTCTTTCCATACTTAAGTTTTGATTTTTGTATGTAGGCTATGATAGAGAATTCCTGGATGTCTTGGCCCACTGGCACTATCGCCCAAATTTGGTTCGATTATAAAGCAACAATGGCCACATTAACTAGTCGTGGTTATGATGTGATTATGAGCGACGGTTGGTATTTGTATGATATAGCGACAGGACCTGACTGGGAAAAATTTTACACCATAGAACCCACCGATTTTACTGGCACAAATCAACAAAAAAAACGTGTTATCGGAGGTGAAGCTTGTTTATGGAGCGAATGGATAAACGAACACAATGTGTTACCGACCACTTTTCCGAGAGTAAGCGCAGTAGCTGAGCGTTTATGGTCCGAGCAGCCACATAGAAATGTAGAAGAAGCACGCTTACGTTTAGAAGAACACAATTGTCGCATGATATATAGAGGAGTAGAGGCAAGGCCCGCCAATGGTTTTGGTCTTTGCTAAATAATTACAGTAAGGAATCACACCAAAAGTTGAATATAATGAAAGAAAAGAATAATTGTGAGCAAATTACAAATTTGAATAAAAATTTCAAAATATATATTTTGATATTTTTTATAAAAAGTTTATTTAAATCTTTTACATTTTTCTGATAAGCCGCAAGAGTTGCATAATCCTGCCACAAGTACGTGTTAAATGTCAAACAAATGACAGTAATAGATACGTTCTAAGCTGATTACATGCTACAAAAGTTTTACGTTTAGATTTTATAGGAATTTATATTATTTTCTTTTTTTTCTTTTCTTCTTTTCTTATTTCACTTTTTACTTTCCTTAACAAAAACTCATTGAAAAAAGGGAGAAAGGAAAAAAATATATAAAAAAAAAGAATTATTTTTCTTGCCAGAACTTACGTGTCAGGGCTGCTACGGCTGGTTTAAGGCGAGCTGATGTGCCATTGACAGTTTGTTGAGCTTTCGGAGGTGGTCCTAAATCTGTGGGTGATATACTTAGATTTCGTACATCACGCTTTTTGGCAGCTCCTGCAAATAGAAATAAGCAAAAAAGGAAGAGATAAGTAATATTAATTAATGAGCTCATTACATGAGTTGGTGGGGAAAATAAATATTTAATAAAATTGAAAAGAAACACACTGTAAGAAATAATTCACTACAAATAAATGCGATCAAAATATGTATGTAGAAAATTTATATAAATTTATGCTTAGAATTTTAATTTGTAATTTATGCGAAATCACGTACATGAGACGTCGTCCATTTATTTGCGGAAAAACTTCGGAATTACAAACGAAATAGTCGGAAAAGACAAAAGTTTTGTGTTTTTTAGTTATTAAATATTTTTGAACAACAACAGCAACAATTTTAATATAATGTATGCTTACTTAATACGACTATACGACGGTACAGTCAAGTTACGCATTTCATCCAATATAACCCACACTTTATTATGGCAGCTTATATCTGAAGCACTTCTACTCACTCGTTGGTAGTTCATTAAAGCGCAAAAAGATTCAGAGGAATAAAAAAAAGACGTCTAAGCATTGTTTTTGTGCTGTAATGCGAGGAACGTGACCATCATGGATTTCCACAGAATGCGCCTTCAGCTGGGGTGAAGTTGGCATACGAAGAAGTAAGCATATTAGCAAAAGTATTTACTCGTTTAATTCCAGAAATTATAAAAAGTGATGTGCAGACGCGGAAGAGATGAAGGAGAACAATTATGATTGTGTAGTTACAAACTATATTGGCTCGTTTACACAAAACACTTTTCACTTTAAACAAAATCGATTTTATTTCACTAAAACATGCCAAATGCATACTTTAGCAATAAACTTTTTTTTGATATTGGAAAATCTCTTAACACAATGTTCAGCACAAAAATTGAAAAGTTCAGAAACATTTCAACTAAAGCATAGAAAAAAACAGTTCTATATAATAAATGCCATACCTAATGAACAAATTAAAGATTACTGAATTTATAAAAAAATGTGTCTATAACTTTTTAAAAGAGGAAGCATCATCACATCACCACTTTATTTCTTCTGGCGCTTTTCTGGATGTGCCGGTACCGGTGTATATTACCCTAGAAGCCATTAAGAGAATTACTGATCTCTATTTTCTACAACTTGCCAATAACATATGGAAAACATTTGAGTCATGTGCAACTTACAGGTTAACATGACCCACCTATAATAAAATTAGATTCTCGGAACTCATTAAAAAAGACCGCGTGGACACTGCAAGGCTTACTGCAGTTCTCTCTGGTCATTGGTTTATAGATACCCACGCATAGAAGCTACGCATTCCATATGATCCTCACTGTAGAAGTTGTGGAAACCCGTAGGAAAAATAATCCATAATACATTTTTTCTATGAATGTCCGACTTTGGCGTCCAGAAGAAATAGGTGTTTAGGAGGACATTTCTTTGGCAGTTTGTCAGACTGTTCATCGGTGAAGAGGAGAGACTTTTTAAATTATCTGAATTCGACGGGATAGATTTATCTCTACTCCTTTATGCTAGATATTCTTGCGAGGAATGTGGTAGTAAAACGGCGAAAATCGCCGTTATCCATTGCAACCAACCATAATTAAATCAATACTGGGCCTATTCTTTTGTAAGTAAATCGCAAAAAAAATAACCGCTAATTATAAAAATAACATATGAAATAACAACACTATTAGCTTATTCCGAGTATATTCTTTAAAACCACTTAACTGAAGCATGATATAGACGATGCTGCAAGTCTGCACACTAAGTATGTAGGTAGACCATGTAAGCGCTTGGAATGCATACTTGAATATACATAGTCCGGTTTGTTAACACGGCACACTTGGTTTGCATACAAGTGGTATTGTCTATATCATGCTTGAGCCTCTTTCCATGTTTCTTACGGACATTACAGACATATACAAGGGACCTAACAGTTTAATCTTGATTTGGAAAGCATTTTAAAAAATGCTTATCATTTCATAATTTTTATAAGCAATCTTGGATAAAATTTGAAACCTAAATTGGCATTTGTTTATAAAAAAAATTAACTTTTTAGATTTAGAAAAATCACTTGAAGATTATTATCGATATTACGTGGCATTCGGCAGCCTTCATACGTTAATATTAATCTGGGCAGTGATTTTAAATAATCACGTACGAAGTAAAATCGAGAAAGAAAGGATCTTAACAAGTAAGTAAATAAGCAGAAGTAAGATTATTATTACACTTAAATCATCACAGACTCTTTAATATATATAATAGAATATCTACTAGTGACTGATTGTAACATATCCGAACATGAGATTTGATTAAGAACAAAATTAATTCTTACAAGTTTACATTTAAAAATATCAATTTATTTTGGAATTTGATAAGTTGTGAATCACTCAATCCCTCTACATAACTTTGCGAGAAACATAGAACAACAGTTAAGCTAACTGGACAAGATCTATCGGTGTACTTGCCTACCTGCCCATTATAAGAAATAGTAAATAAAATATTATGTTTAAACTATAGACGTTTCTACTGGCGTAATGTTTATATCATAATACCCTGTAGTGTTCTTACAAGTGATAGAGAACTTATTTGCCTTTCGTTTCTAATCGTAGTCTTTACATATATTACAATATATCTCTCATTGATAACTTATTTCAGCCATATCAAGCTTCAAAGAAGTGCCTAAATTTGACTTAGGCATAAATAGCCTTTTTATAATTTTTACATATTTCATTTATAGACTTTAAGACTATAATACGGCATTTAAACTGACCGGAAACTTCAAATCATTTCAAATTAGTCATTTAAAAGTGTTTACATTCGTTGTTTTTCATTTATTCTCATTTCAAACAGCTGATAAGTCAACATGCCTGTTGATTTGATTTTTTGGCTTGTGCCAAAAAAATGTTTAATGAAGGTTAAATATACCTTCAAACCTTACAATATAAACTAAAAACATATTTTTAACTTCGTTTAAATACTTTTTGAGAAGTAGAAGTTCCAGAAAGAGGTGCATCGTTTTCAAGGAAATGCAACTACCAAATATTTCTTTACTTAGGGTATACTCTACGTATTTATTTGCATTTGAAACTTATTCAGAACTCATTTTAAACTCTTTGGGACTTAATTGTACAAAATCAGCAAATGGAACTCATTTGCGCATACGAGGGTTTGTATGCAGAAATCAGTCAGTTGCTTCTCATTTTTGATTTTTGACCCAAAGCACTCATTTGAGGCCAAACTCAACGATTATATATATTCTATTTACACACGTATATATATATATATATATATTGTATATGTACAATAAAGTTGGCGCTTCCAAATAGTACCATATTCCAAAAATACCGATTTTGGTACTAAAGTACTACATGTGGCAACCGTGGTACGTACAGCGAGAACTTGAGCGAACTTAAGCCCAAGCGAAATGCACACCCAACCATACCTGTGTATTTAATAGGAACGAAATAAACAAAGTTCGCCGCTTAAAAGCGCGCGCAGCAATATTCGCATCAAACTATCTTGTCTTTTAGGCGGACACATTTGTTTCTGCTCGACACCTGAGTAAACAAGGTTTTGTTCCGTTCTTTTGTATAATTTCCAAATTATAGATTGTGTTCATTATTTTCAATTAATAAAAACAAAAAAACAAAAAACATTGGAACCCTGGGTAATTATTTATGCATTAATAGATCAATAACATACAGCATAGCTTACAACCGGTGCAACGCCGGTTCGATTTCGTTTGTTATATGTATATATACTTATATTGTTATTTATATTTATAGAATATTTCACTTACTGATAGGAAACGGATCATCGTTATTGTGTGTTAATACACAATTTCAAGTATTTTGGTGTTGGAAAAGCAACAGGTAAATTATAATTCTCATTTACTTAAATTATCACGATGTATTTTTTTTGTATTAAAAAAAAAAAAAACTAGAAATCCGATGGGCTGATTTCAACAAAACTGAGGCGTTGATTTTTTTGAACATTGCAAATGTTCCAGAAACTTTTATACCCATCTACAACCGATGGGTATCGATTTTATACGTTTTTGTATCATCGAAATAGTGTTGCTCATAGCTAATTTCATTTAGAATGATATATCTTCTATATGTTAAAAATGTACATGAAGTATATATTGTATTTGTCATATTTTAATATTCAATTGTTATCGGCGTACTCTTATATTTTCAGTCGTAACCACTAAAAAATTCCTCACTAGCGTGAAACTATTCTTTGCTGTCCCAATATGAAGAAAAGAAGCGCTTTATTCAACCATGGAAGATTATTATCTGTAAGTATGAAATTATTTGATATGTTAATTTTTTTATGACAACTGTAAAAATCTGTATCATTTCAGCCTCATAAAACAAATCGCTCATGTGTTCAGAAAGATGTATATTGGGAAACGGAGGAGATTAGAACTTGGTCGCCACTCCTAGTAGAACAATATTTGGCATTAAACTACATCAGAGCATCGCGGTTACTACAACTAGAAGATGTGGCTTTCGATAAAATTCCAAAACCAATTCAACGTTTTGCGCACATTTTTGACCACGGCATATTAAGTAAGTTGTTTCAACTTGGCTACCAGTATCCAACTCCCATACAGAAACAAACGGTGCCTGTCATGCTTAAAGGAGAGAATGTGATTGGAATATCTCCAACCGGTTCAGGCAAGACTATAGCCTATTTTATTGCAAGCATACTGCATATAAAAGCGCAAAGAAAACTGCGCTGTAAAAATGGCCCATACGTGTTAGTTATATCATCCACAAAAAAACGAGTTTTGAAAATCGCTGATGTTTACAAGAAATTTGATTTGTGCACTAACCCGTAAGTGATATAATAACTAAACAACTTCTAACAACTAATAACTTTGAAAAACCTTTTTAGCACGTGCATACTAAGTGATAATAAAAAGTGTATCAACATCGCGAAGATTAAGTCCGACTGCATTATATCCACTCCAGATCATATTTATGATTTCATTATAGACAGAAGAATTAATATGTCCTCCTTTAGTTTCATCATATTGGACAATGCGGATGACATGTGGTATAATGGGTTTGAAAAACAAATTCACAACATTTTATATTACTTGCACCCTTTAAGCCAATTTGTAGTGATGAGTGTAACTTTCCCTTCATATCTACAATCAATTGCTGAAAAGTACATGTACCACCCAATTATAATAGAAAATGCACCACCGGTTGTTGATCCAAAGCTGGGCCCTTTCGTTAAACAACATTTTAAATTTGCGTATACTGATGCCGATAAGTACCAAATGGTAATTTTTATTAAATTAAATTTTAACAAAAATAAAAAATGAATTCCCTTCAGTTTTATAATTTTGCTAAAGGGCTGAAACCACGTGAAGCAGTGCTAGTATATTGTTTGGACAAAGCTAGAGCAGTTGATCTATCAAGTACCTTGGCAACTAAAAGTTTAGCGACCCAATGTGTGCAATCATTGATCACTCAGGTAAAATATTTGGAACCAATACATAGGATTTTAGATGTATAAAATTATCCTTCTTTTTTACTGATTGATTATACAGTATGATCACGATATTACGGAGATGTACATTAAACACGGTGATATAAAAATTCTGTGCGATTTCGAAGGTTCAGGGAAGGAATTCCCTGTGTCATATTTTCGGTAATTTTATTTATAAATTTATAGCCACGAAAAGTTAATAAATTTCTTTGTTGTAGGTACTTTTTTCATTTCGATCAACCATCTAATATCTATTACTACAAGAAGCGTGTGAATCAGGCTATGAATGCGCGACAGGATTGCACCTTCATTTCCTTTATATCACCTACTGATGGAATCATAGTAAAACAGCTGTATTATTTTTTATCAGATAATAAGCAAGCCATACCAGATGCTATACGTGAGGTCTTGACGAAACCGAAAGTAAATCGAAACGGAAAATAGGCCGAAGACAAATAGTTTTGAATATTAAAAATGAATTGCAATTTTTAATGTCAATTTTATTTTTTACTTTTATATTTTTGTTCTACTTTGGTTCTGTTATTTTATTTTCTTATGTTAATTTTTGAAATTTATTTTTTTATTTTATTTGTAATACTTAATTTATTACTCGTTTTTAAAAATTATTTATGTAGTTACTCTAAAAATTAAATTTTTGAATTCTTTCATGTTCGAGTAATGAAATCAATTTGTATATACTTCAACATATAATATTTATTTTTTGATTCCATATTAATTGTTTTATTTGTATGGGATCTAAACCTTCAATTGGAGTGCCGTCACCCTGATGGACCAATATCTACCCTAGTTGTTATAAATCTATGCCTTAAGGAATTCCCGGATAACCGGGATGTTCGGTCACTGAAACTATTAAAAGATTGTACTTAATCCTATACTGATGGCTAAAAACTTACCCAAACAACAATAACAACATATTAATATATTAATAGATATTTACATAGATAAATTTTACTGTGTCTACCGTCCACATCCGTTAGAGTCAGGGGAAGCAACTAGTATGAAAATAACTTAAATTTCAACAGATATTTAAAAAATCCTCTACTTGTAAGTAGAGTCCTCTACTTGTTACTACTTACGGATTTCGTCTGGGAACTACCCAAACTCATCAGAGTGAAGAAAAACTACGTTAATCAAAACTGTTCTGTATTAAAAATAAGACAAAATAAAATAAAACAAAACAAAACAAAAAAAAATAAATAAAATAAAATTAAATAAAAATAAAATAAAATTAAATGTATAAGCTGGCACCTACACTGTCAGCTGTCAGTGATGTTGACATTATCGAACCACATTTATATTATATAATACTTAAAATACTATTCAGGATCAATAAATTTTCTTGAGTGCCGCATGCCTGCTTCAGCTCTCCAGTGTTCAAATAGACTTAATTTCTCCCTTTCACTTATTAAGTCACTTATTAAGCTATTTGTTACCCCGTAGAAGGGCTCTGGAGCAATTTCGTTGTCTTTATGTCCATAATGTTCCGGTACCCACATAACAGTAACAGAGTTTCTCGATGCTATGGTATTGAGAAATTCAAAGCATTCCTAAACTAACTTTGATTGCAATAAAGACTTTTGCTAAGAATTTTAGAACTGCTTGGCTGTCTAAAAGAATGTGTATTTTGATACTCTGAGTGTCTACGCATAAACATTATCCAACACATAACTTTAAGACATGGACGTCTGCCTGAAAAATGGAAACGGTTTTTCCCATTGCGGTTGCTTTTCGGTATTGCGGTACTACAATTCTTGCTCCTATACTGTCATCTTCTATTTTGGACTTATCAGTATATCATAAGTGTGAGCCCTTAACTGCTAATACCTGCCACAGATTACTTTAATTAATTATCTATTAATACCACAGGTTTGGTCATATACATGTCACAACATAGTGACCTTGTTTTTTTAGAGATGGAATTCTAGGCTGCACTAAGATCTAACTTGAGTAAACTTCGTTTGCAAGATAGCGTGAAAGGATTGAAAATTTAATCTCTTGATAAAACTAGAACAAATTAAGGGCAAATGTAAGAAGAAGCATACAAAAAAATATAATTATGTGTTGTAGATATTGGTTGACAACATCTCTTTCCTTCTTGGATATATCAACTTAATACGAATATAAGAAAGAGATATTAAATTAAAAATTTTCTCTACTACGATAAACTTTTCATGTTTAAAACTTAATTGAAATTTTATACTTCATTGTGCTTTTATATGCGGTTAAACAAATTACATATGCGGGCGGCAATACATATGGATTTATTTCGAAGGAAGAGATATTTCGTACTTTAATATCATCTGCCGGCTTAAAGGAATTAAAAATTTTATTGTTTGCATGAGTTCAAATGTATCTTCTTGCAAATTATGCGCATTCATGATGCTGAAGGTACAAGCATGAATATGAATATAAATAAAGTATTTGGATACTTTTGAGTAAAGATATATTCACTTAATACATATGTATATATATACATATTAATTTGTATATTTTATATTTAAATAAAAAAATATTTTTCTCACGAACTTTTTGTTCGCATGAAAAGAAAAAGACACGAATTTTGATGCGGCGTGATAATTCTTCACTTTCGATATTAATTCAGCCTTTACTTTTTTAAAATAATTCTTCATTAAGTTATTCAGACTATATTAAAGAAAACTTAAATAATTGAAAAATTGAGTAAATAAAGGGTTAAAAAGAATTGTAATGTGTATTCTTCCACTCTGGATCAATTTCTTCTGCTTATTGCCTTCAATCATTAACATGATACATACACAGTCTGTGTATATAACTATCCAAAGAGAAGAGTCTTAAACAATAAAAAAAAAACTCAAAACATTCATTTTTTTTATTTTTTATTCTGCTACATTTATGGTTTCCCCTTCCGAGTCGTTTTTTCGTAAAACATTACATAGCCATCAATTGGAATTGTCCTTAGTAAGTGTATGTCGGTCGATTTGAAAGATATTTGAATGACGAGAACATTGAATCGGTATTGCGGCCTTAAAAGTCCTATTGTAACAATTTTACTATTGATTACACCAAGCCCCTTAAATCTGTTCTGGCGACAGAAATTCCATATGGAACAAGTTTCTTCTGTGCATTATTAAAGCTGGACAGTCAGTCGCAAAGAATATGTATATTAGTTTCCTCATCTAGTGCTGATATTAATATAAATACAATATCTAGAACATTTTATATTATTATTGAACTAAATCAATTTTAATTAGTAAACAATTAATTTATAAAAAAAGTAAACAAGTCAAATGTTTTTTAATATCAGTAATAAAATATTTAACATAGCGAAAAAGAAAAAAAAATTGACCTCTTTTGCAACATTTGACTATATATATTTTTATGGAACCTAAACTATGTGAAGCCATTAAATCACGTTCCAAATTTTAAAATTAAATTTAAGAAATTATCGACGATAATAAAATTTTCTTTATAAATTTTATTTTATTTCCTTTTATTTTATTGCTGCATTCAAGTAAACACAAAATCTATTTTATAGCAGTTTCCATGTCTCTCATTTGCTCTACTAATTGTGGACCTTAGTTTAAAGCACTTTTAAGGATTAAAGTATTTTATGGCTTTTATATTAAAGGATTTAAATTTTAATATATATACGAGTATAAAACAATACACACGAATATATATATATGTAACATATATGCATAAGACAAAAGTTTTTACATACATACATACATTATTCCATATCCTCACTCAACGGAATTAAGTGCTGCAACGTAGCAGAGCGGTAGAATCAAATGTGAAATAAAATTTTTTATGGAATGCAGTCCATAAATTATAGCGTTTTATTTGCATGCAGTTGTTGTTTTATTTGTTTATATATTTTTTATTTTTTGGGTTTATTTTGTTATTAATGTTAATTTAAAATAAAACATAAATTTAAATCAAATTAAATTCAAAATTTTTTTTAATTACACTTAGTAAGAGAAGCTAGGAAAAGAAATCATCTATAATAAATTGTTTGAATGGCAATCTGCAAATGACTTTTGTAATTAGCATCGATACCTTTCGGTTCATTTTTACAAGATTTATGTCTACTAATTTGGTTAATTTTTCATGTCAAGAAATGACTATTTAGTATTTAGTTGAGGATAGAAAAAACTTACCTTTTGCACGTTTTCCGAAGCTACCGAAACGTTCACGTTCGATCACCTGAGTGTGTATATAACGCTCGGAATAGGATCGTGATAGCTTTTCTTTTGAGTTATGTTGGCCCATTGTGTGAAATACTGGGAAAGATTATTATATCTTTTTGACGTGTTCACTTTATTCTACTTAATTGTTAAATCGTTGATATATGGCGGCTTCGTTGTGTAGTGATTTATCGATTCCTTGTTCGTTTTCGCATTTATCGTTATTATCGTTAATCTTTACACATGACGTGCCAAACTCTAATTGATTTTGGTGAGAGGAAAATTCAATAAACTTTTTAACTATGTATTTTTATTTTTCATTTTTTTCATTTATTTCATTTATTTTTATCTTTTCATCTTTCAATAAGCAATTCGAATTAAGTTTCTCATTGGGATTTGAAACATTATTAAACGTTCACATGGGGGCGCTACTTTTAATCTTGCTAAAGTTGATTTAATTTTTAATGTTTATTTTCATTTTTCTTATTCTTTGTTTACTTTATACACTATTTATTAATCTATTAATTTATTTTTTCTACTTGTTACAATCCAATTTTTTTTTTTGTATTTTCACATCATTCTTTTTTTTTGCAAGTGTTCACTGAAATGTAGTTGGAAATTAGTTTTGTTGTCATTTCTTATTTGAGCTCGGAAGAAATGCATTTGAAATCGCTCTCCAGTGACCCCAACACTCATATGTGTCTGCAACTCATTTTGCAGACACATATGGCACCAACTTTTGCAATAGTCTTGCAACGTTGGGTGTTACTGCTGACAGCAGCTGTCACATAGCATAAATGGAACCGCTTTTGTTTATGGTTCGTAGGAGGAAAAATTTCCAGAAGAAGGCAAATAATATCGAAAAATTGACAATATTGATTTCAAAGATGAGATCGTAATTAGAGTTTATATCACAAATACATTAAATTAAAAACAACAAGAATACATTGTTAAATATCATTATTAAACAGAAAGTACTATATACCGTGATTCAGGTGCTAACCCCGGTTGTTTCAGACAATCATTATGAATATGAGCAACTTTCACGGTTTTTTTTTATTCTAACTTAGCTATATGTTTTAAAGGGTGGCAAATCTGTTTTTAAGGTGAGTAAATCTGTAGGTGCTCAGTTTAGGGCATTCAAAGAGATTGCGATTAAATCAACATACTTATATATAAATACATACATAAAAAAATATCTTATCTACGAGGTCAAATTTTTTCCTATGGACTATAATTTCATAGTATGTAAACCGATGATATTAACTTTATAACCGGAACATAATTAATTTTTAAAATTCTCGACAAATTTTTCAGCAAAAAAAAAA